TCGGCGTGCCCCTCATCGGCGTGCCCCTCATCGGCGTGCCCCTCATCGGCTAGCTCCTCATCGGCGTGCTCCTCATCGGCGTGCTCGTTCTTGCCTTGGTCCTTTCCCTATGGCGGCCCTCCGGGGGACGCCTGTCGCCGCGCGCCTGCTGTCCGCCGAGCACGCGGGCCGAACGTGTTGCCTATCCCCCGCCTCGCAGGGGCTCTGCGGAGCGCCTGGCATAGCGGGGAATACGCAGGGGAGGGGAAAGCAAAGGCCAAGGAGAGGGAAAGACAGTAGCAAGCGGAAGCCGGAAACGGAATCGAACTTGCGACATGTCTGGCCGCCGCGCTGCTGCCGGGCGCCGGGACGCTCTGAATCACGAGGCACCGACACGCACGTTTGCTTTATTTCGCGATTTCGCCCTTTTTCTCGTGTTTATTTCAAGTGCTGCCCGGGCAGGCGTGGCAGCCAGGCCAGGAGGTGGAGGAGGCAGCCGCGGGGCAAATCCCGAAAGTGGGGCAGGGATCTGATTTATGTCGTGGGGCGGCGGAGCGGCGCGGGAAATGATTCCAATCCCTGGCGTACTTCGCAGACAGAGTCGAGCGCATAATTCAATTTATCCGCGCTCTCTGCTCGGAACAAACACACTCTCACGCACGCCTCTGCTGCCCCAATTCACTCTCATGCGTCATGTATGGGCTCTGATTTCGTTTCCTTTTGTGGCAGTGTACCTGGTGGCGCCAGGCTGCCATACTCTCGGGCGGGCCGCCGCCGATGCTGCTGCTGTGCGTCTCTGCGAATCACACGGCCGGCTGCAATTACTTAATGGACGCGATGTTCATCTCGTTTGTTTCCACGCAAATTGAGTCAACGCCCCGTAATTGCATTACGCTATATTGGCGCGCTATGCGGCGCTATGCAGTCGCGCTATGCCGTCTGCTGGTCCGGCTCGCTCTGGCGCGCTGCAAATCATTGTGCCCCGCCCGGCCCCGCCAGCAGCAGCAAGCACAGATTTGGGGCGACAGTTGTTAGCTGTCCCGATGGAGAGGCCATGTAGGCCGGGGTGGTGGTGGTGGCAGCAACGACAGTAATGTGATACGGCG